CATAAACTAGTAAACCTGGAAGAAACAGATAAACTCCTGGAATCCTGTGTCCTCCCAAGCCTAAACCAGGAGGAAACTGAAACTATGAATAGACCAATAACAAGGTCAGAAGTCGAGGCAGCAATTAAGAGCCTACCACTCAAAAAAAGCCCAGGTCCAGACGGGTTCACAGCCGAATTCTACCAGACACACAAAGAGGAGCTAGTACCGTTCCTTCTGAAACTATTTCAAACAATCCAAAAAGAGGGAATCTTTCCCAAATCATTTTACGAGACCAACATCATTCTGATACCAAAACCTGGCAGAGACCCAACAAGAAAAGAAAACTTCAGGCCAATATCCATGATGAACATAGATGCAAAAATCCTCAATAAAATATTGGCAAGCCGATTGCAACAGCAAATCAAAAAACTTATCCATCATGATCAAGTAGGATTCATCCCGGGGATGCAAGGCTGGTTCAACATACGCAAGTCTATCAATGTAATTCACCACATAAACAGAACCAAAAACAAAAACCACATGATTATGTCAATTGATGCAGAGAAAGCATTTGACAAAATTCAACAGCCCTTTATGCTAAAAACCCTCAATAAACTCGGTATCGATGGAACGTATCTCAAAGTAATAAAAGCTATTTATGACAAACCAACAGCCAATATCATACTGAATGGGCAAAAACTGGAAGCATTCCCTTTGAAATCTGGCACTAGACAAGGATGCCCTCTTTCACCACTCCTATTCAATATAGGACTGGAAGTTCTAGCCAGAGCAATCAGGCAAGAAAAAGAAATAAAGGGTATTCAAATAGGAAAGGTGTAAGCCAAATTGTCTCTATTTGCAGACGACATGATAGTATACCTAGAAGACCCCATTGCCTCAGCCCAAAAACTCCTTAAACTGATAAGCAACTTCAGCAAAGTCTCAGGATATAAAATCAGTGTGCAAAAATCACAAGCATTCGTCTACACCAATAACAGACTTAAAGAAAGCCAAATCAAGAATGAACTGCCATTCACAATTGCTACAAAAAGAATAAAATACCTTGGAATACAACTCACAAGGAATGTATGGGACCTCTTCAAGGAGAACTACAAACCACTGCTCAACGAAATCAGAGAGGACACAAACAGATGGAGAAACATTCCATGTTCATGGTTAGGAAGAATTAATATCGTGAAAATGGCTAAACTGCCCAAAGTAATTTACAGAATCAACGCTATCCCCATCAAGCTACCATTGACTTTCTTCACAGAACTGGAAAAAACCACCATGAACTTCATATGGAACCAAAAGAGAGCCCGCATAGCCAAGTCAATTCTAAGCAAGAAGAACACAGCGGGGGGCATTACACTACCGGATTTCAAACTATACTACAAGGCTACAGTAATCAAAACAGCATGGTACTGGTACCAAAACAGAGATATAGACCAATGGAACAAAACAGAGACACCGGAGGCAACACAACATATCTACAACCATACAATCTTTGATAAACCTGACAAATACAAGCAATGGGGAAATGATTCCCTGTTTAACAAATGGTGTTGGGAAATCTGGCTAGCCATGTGCAGAAAGCAGAAACTGGACCCCTTCCTGACACCTCACACTAAAATTAACTCCAGATGGATTAAAGACTTAAACATAAGACCTGGCATGATATAAACCCTAGAAGGAAATCTAGGCAAAACTATCCAGGACATAGGAGTAGGCAAGGACTTCATGAACAAAACACCAATAGCAATGGCAACAAAAGCCAAAATAGACAAATGGGACCTAATGAAACTCCACAGCTTCTGCAAGTCAAAAGAAACAGTCACTAGAGTGGATTGGCAACCAACAGAATGGGAAAAAATTTTTGCAGTCTACCCATCTGACAAAGGGCTGATATCCAGAATTTACAAAGAACTCAAACAGATTTATAGGAAAAAAACAAGCCCATTCAAAAGTGGGCAAAGGATATGAACAGACACTTTACGAAAGAAGGCATATATGAAGCCAACAATCATATGAAAAAATGCTCATTGTCACTGGTCATCAGAGAGATGCAAATCAAAACCACATTGAGATACCATCTCACGCCAGTTAGAATGGCGATCATTAAAAAATCTGGAGACAACAGATGCTGGAGAGGATGTGGAGAAAAAGGAACACTTTTACACTGTTGGTGGGAGTGTAAATTAGTTCAACCATTGTGGAAGACAGTGTGGCAATTCCTCAAGGCCTTAGAAATAGAAATTCCATTTGACCCAGCCATCCCATTACTGGGTATATATCCAAAAGACTATAAATCGTTCTACTATAAGGGCACATGCACACGAATGTTCATTGCAGCACTGTTTACAATAGCAAAGGAATCAACCCAAATGCCCATTGATAATAGACTGGATTGGAAAAATGTGGCACATATACACCATGGAATATTATGCAGCAATCAGAAATGATGAGTTTGTGTCGTTTGTAGGGACATGGATGAATCTGGCGAACATCATCCTCAGCAAACTGACACAAGAACAGAAAATGAAACACCGCATATTCTCACTCATAGGTGGGTGATGAAAAATGAGAACACATGGACACAGAAAGGGGAGTACTAAACACTGGGGTCTATTTGGGGGAAAAGGGGAGGGCCAGTGGGATGGGGAGGTGGGGAGGGATAGCCTGGGGAGAAAGGCCAAATGTGGGTGAAGGGGAGAATGAAAGCAAAGCACACTGCCATGTGTCTACCTATGCAACTGTCTTGCATGCTCTGCTCATGTACCCCAAAACCTAAAATCCAATAAAAAATTAAAAAAAAAAGAGGTTAGAACACATTTCTATTAATTAACACAGAGCTTTCAATACTTTGTGTTTAGGGCATATTGTCTAAATGTATTTGGTTTATTTGTTGATTTGGAATATATTCACATTTTTCCAATTTTAAAAATATAAGAGTAGATACAGCAGAAAGTTTATCTCCCAGATCTCTCATCCTGAACACAGTTACCCTCCTGTATTAACCATGGTTCAACAAAGAAGCAGTAGGAGTTACGAGTATATATTTACATGCCTGCCTGCCTATCTATCTCTCTATCTGTCTATCTATCTGTCTAATCTATCTATGTATCTGTGTATCTATGTATCTATCTGTCTGTCTGTCTATCTATCTATCTATCTATCTATCTATCTGTCTGTCTGTCTGTCTGTCTGTCTGTCTGTCTGTCTGTCTGTCCGTCCATCTGTCTGTCTGTCTGTCTGTCTGTCTGTCTATCTGCCTACGTGATTGTGGGGTCTGCCTAAGTAAGTCCAAAATCTGCAGGGCAGCCATTCAGGAAGAGTGAGATTATGGGCAGTCTCAAACCCACAGGTGCAGGCTGGAGCTATTAGGCTGTACAGCAAGGTAGTCAGGAAAGGAAGATTCCAAGCTGGAGGGAACTCCACAGTCTCAGGTAGAGGCTGTTGTCCACAGGCAGAAGATCTCTTTTCCTCAGAAAATATCTCTCCTGCATTTTTGCCTTCCAGTGAATTCAGTCAGGCCCTTGCAGAATATCCAGGATAACCTCTCTTACTTAAAATTAACCGATTAGGAGTTTTATTTACATCCTCAAAATACCTTTCCTGCAACATCTAGTTGAGTGCTTGATTGAACAACTGGAGACCTTACATAGCTTATCCAAGTTGACACATCAACAAAACCAACATACCTTCCTAAAATCTAATAATGTTATCAGTGTCTTATGTAGTTTTTTGGGGGGTCAAAAGGGGTCTCTAATTATCAGAGATTATAAAACATGGTAACATTATTTCTTCTAGTATTTATACAGCTTAATTTACCACATTCAACTCTTTGGTCCATTTGAAATTTACATTTGTATAAGATATGAGGTATGCAACCAAAAATATTTTGTCCTAAATGGCTATTTATCTTTCTCAACACAATTTCTTAAATAATCCATTTTTTCCTTTAGTGATTGAATTGCAACCTTTGGGATGCAATTTCCTAAATGTATTTGGGTTAATTCCTGGACATTCTGTTCTTTTCATATTATCTGTTTATTTCTTCCTGTATTATTATCTCACTCGTCTAACTATTATTGCTTTTGAATATGTTTTAAAATATGGTAGTACTAGGGTCTCCCAGCATTTATTTTATTTTAATCCTTTGTTTTTATTTTTCCATACATATGCCAAAAGCAGTTTGTCTAGTAGGAAGCAGAAACATCTTCCTAATATTTCATAGAAGTAACATTAAATGTATTGGTTACTTTAAATTTTTTTGGTTTTCCTTTTATAAAATTTTGTTTTTTCCAGTCTCCCTTACATAATTTAGTAGTATCTTAAAGTTTGCCTTCTACAGATCTTGTACATTTCTTGTAAGCTTATCACTAGACAAGTTTTAAAATATTTTTATTGTTTCAGTTACTCATTGTTGTGAAAAAGGAATTTTTTCCATTTTATCTTCTAATATGTTGTGTGTCTTTTTGAAAGATACAGATTTCATACTGTCCTTGCCAATTTACTGAATTCTCTAGAACTTCAATCTCTTAAATAATCAATGTATGCAAGCATACCAGTGTAGCTAATTCTATATTTGATCTTGTATATCTAATTTTTGTGCTTCTAATTATTTTCCTAGTTGAACTCTAATGCTGATACTTCTTATACAGTGTTAAATGATTGGGAGCCAGTAGGCATCTTTGTCTTAATTTTTACTTTATTGAGGATCTTCTTGGTATTTCTGTATTAAGCCTGAAATACAGGGGTGTTTGTGTGTATATGTATACGTATGCACAGGTATAGACACACACTTGCAAACTTACAGGAAATTATTAAAGATTATTTATTTTACCAAATCTTTTTTTAGCATTTTTACAATTGTGTGATTTTTCTCTTTGGATCTACTTGTATGTTGAATTATATTAATAGATCTTTTAACGTGGAAACATTTTACTTTTTGGAAATAAACATCCTTGACGTCTTTCAATATATGTTGCATTTTGTTTTGTTTTTTCCTGAATTAGTCATTTTCAAGAGAACTGATGGTGTAGTTCTACCCTGAAGGTTGGCATTCTTGGAACCCTGGAAGAATTGATGTTTTAGCTCAATTCCAACCACAGGAAAAAAGAAAGCTGATGTCCCAGTTTGAAGATCATTGGGCACGAGGAATTCTTTCTTACTCAGAGAAGTTCCAGCTTTTTGTTCTATTCAATCCTTCAACTGATTGGATGAAGCTCATTCACATTAGGAAGGACAACTGCTTTATGTAGTTAATTTTATCCAAAAATGCCCTCACAGAAACAACCAGATGTTTGACCAAAGGTCTGAGTTCCCCATGACCCAGTCCAGCTGACACATAAAAGTGACCACGACGAGCCAAGAGTTTTTGCTGTTTTCATGTTGATTTTTCATGACAAGAGGAGAAGCTGTGTGAATGCTCCTTTTGTTTTTTCTCTTTTTCTTAGTGAGTTTCCAACCTCTTTTCTAAACACGTAGTGATCTAGCTAGACTTTGAAAAGTATAGGTTTAAAGGGATGGCAAATTATTAGCTTGTCCTGAGAACCCATGGATCTTGGTCTGGCCCTGTTCCTAAGGTTTGTGCATGAGGCTATCTGCAGCTTGAAGAAGTGAAAGCTCCCTTTCCTTCCAGAGAGAGCTACCCTATGTGGGAACCTGAGGTTTTGTTCACATGACCTCATTGTGGAACTCAGCCTTAAAACAGTGGGTAGGGATTTCTGAGGCTACTTAATAGTATGGTAGTGCATGAAGTTTCTCCTTTTGGGGTGTGGTATGTAGAAGTTGTGGTGACATTTTTTGCTGATTTTATATGGTGAACCAACATGTGAGTCAATAAATGGATTTTTATAATTCACTTATGTATTTTCATAATAATAAGTGTCCAAAGGTCAGATTGAAGAAGCCACATCCTGCCTTTATAAAAACAAAATATCCGAGGAAGGATGTTACCAGTTGACATGTCATCTGTAGAGTATATTAAAGACTGGATTGTTTTGAACCTGAATGAAGAAAATGTCAAAGAATAGGCAAAAGAAACATTGGTGCTGGTCCAAAGGAAAATAATCTAAATTTAATGAAGTCTTAAGACTATATGCCTGTCATTAGTTTTTGTTATCCTTTTTATTTCTTCTTTTTTTTTTTAGATGGAGTCTGGCTTGGTCACCCAGGCCAGAGTGCAGTGGTGTGATCTTGGCTAACTGCAACCTCTGCCTCTAGGGTTCAAGCAATTCTCCTGCCTCAGCCTCCTGAGTATCTGGGATTACAGGCATATGCCACCATACCCAGCTAATTTTTGTATTTTTTTAGTAGAGACAGGGTTTCACCATGTCAGACAGGCTGGTCCTGAATTCCTGACCTCAGGTGATCTGCCCACCTCAGCCTCCCAAAGTGCTGGGATTATAGGCATGAGCCACTGTGCTTTTAGGAAGAGCAATGTGTAAGATCCTATTGGAAAATTCAAGAGAAATATTAAATAAAATCTCTATGTCTGCAGAACTTACAGTTCAATGTGATTAAAGGACAAAGGATGAATGTGTGAAGACTGAAAAGACAAGTTCTGGCTATTCCATCGAGGGCCTCATTTGTGAAGCTAAGGCATGTGAACCTTCCCTCTGGTGTTAAGGACCCATCAAGATCGTTAAACAAGTAAGTGACACGATTGGTGCATTTTGGGAAAATGTCACTGATAGTAATAAGGACAGATAAAGGCTATTAAAATAAATTTTAAAAGTCCTAAACATTGAAAAGATTCTGGGGGCACCTTTTATACAATTTAAAATAATATACAAAGCATACACAAATGTTGACATTAAAATAACACATAATTTATATAACTGCTTTCCAGAGCTTCAAATTTCAAATTTCTATATACATTCATTGAACCTAAGCTTTTCTCATATTTTACCTTGTATTTGCTATACTGACACTTGAAGAATATGGTTTTCTTGCCCACCAGGTAGTCCAGCCAGGCATTCTATGAGAATCTGAACTAAGGCAATGACAGGGGAGATCCACGGACAGTGGAGAGAGTAGGAGGTGGAGTTTAGAGAACTTGGAGACTGAATGGCAGAGGACATCAGAGATATGAACGTTTCTAGCTTGGAATCATGGGCATATTCAAATAAAAACATTATAGGAGAAAGCAAATACTTGGAAGCATAAGCTAAGTCTAAAATATTAATTAATTCTTATTGCCTTACACAGAAGTGGTTTGCAAATAAGTTTTCTGGTAGTAGAATAGTGATTTTTCTAAATTTATATGGACTAGAGTAATTTTTTGAAAAGTAGAAATTTAAATAACTTCTAGAACCTAGCACAAACTTGAGATTCAGGGTAAAAATTTTACCTTTTTATTATCTAGAAGGTCTTTTGATGACCGAAGCCTGTCTAGTTGTTTGATAAAAACGTAGCATTCATTACCAAATTACATGCATTATAATTTTAGCCAATTGTCTATTATCGTTCAGGGCTATGAATGACTTCTATTTTTCCAGCCAAAGCCAATGATAAATGTGGGTAGATGACTAAAAAGTAATTGAAGAAAATAAACAGTTTCAGGGTCCTAAAGAACTTATACCTGCTACAGAATTCTGAAATCCTTTCCCTTTTTTGACAGTTGTTGCATTGACATCTACAAACGCACAAAATCTTTATGCAATCCTGTCCTTTGCTATGGTATATGAAAGCATGTAATCCATTATTTGTGTACTAGTGTTTTCATTCTTTGTGTACTAATACTTCTTTGGCCTGAAATTATAAAGGAAAATGCCAGCATTAAATAAAATAATTAAGTAATAATTATTCTTGCCTTATTGCTGATTATAGTATGCTTCGAAATGTTGTTAATGAATATTAGTGAAAGTAAAAGAAGATATTCATACTGTTTTAGGGTGAGTTCTGACATAGAAACGTAGCTTTTCTCTTCTCCTCCTTTCCCCTTTATCATCTGTTCTTTCTCCTCTCCCTTGGGTATTGCATACAAAGATAGAAAGGCAAAGGGAGTTTACTTCTTAGTTTCTTATAGTTGGCAATCTGGCTGTCTCCCGACATCGTCTTTCATTCTGCTTTGGGAAAATATCAGCATGAAGAGGGTGACCCTGTGCACTTGTTTTAGATGAAGGTAAACAGAAGAAGATATTACTTGCCTGAATGAAGTAGACTATCCCATGGAGGAGAATAATAGCTGTCTTCTAGTTTTTGTTTTTCTAAAAAGACCAGTGAAGACTTAAAAGGAGAAAGAACTGGAGAGGAGGGTGAAAGATGATTACCTTAAGGATTAGAGCTGTTACCCTGGTGAAGTCTGCAAATACTGTTTCTAAGCAATAGGCTGAATGTCTCTTAAGTGAAATGAATTACGACCAAGGGATTAGCAGTAAATCTTTACAAGAAAATATCTCTCAGTTAGTTATTCATTATGATAGTATGATTTCAATAAGAATAGATATTGTTTCAGTCATTAACCATGGTCACATAAATACTATTTTAGAAGATATGTAGAAATTCATCAGTTTTTGAAAAAGTTCAAATTTCTGGTTTCATCACAAATTCAGCTATGCTAGCTAAAATGAAACCATCAGATTGATTCTTTTAATGAAAAAAACTACATTTTTCCTGCCCTTTTAAGTGACTTTACAAATAGGAATATTTTAAGCATTTATGTAACATATACTAGATATAGGAGGTTTTATAGATGCTGCTTGTACAATGCTGTAATACTCTTGGCATTTTTTATTTTTAAAAAGTAATCAAAAACACATTGTGAGCTCAAGAAATAGTATATATGCTTCAGGTTAACATGGTAATGGCTCTGGCCTTTAACCCTGATGCAACTGTTCTATCCTAACAGCTCTTTGTGAAAGGACACCAAATACTGAAGAAATTGGAAAGGTTAACAAAGTTAGCGGACAAAATAAACTTGATACTGAGAGTGAACTTTCACATGCAGCAAAAAAATAAACAGTATTCTCTTAGGCTGTTCTTCAAAGGATGTTTAAGATGCCTATATGCTTCTTAGTGCTAAGTTCATCCTCTCTTTTGAGAAGAATTATTTATACAAAGGGTTACCGAATTCATAGTGAGTCAATGATTGCAAATTCATAAGAACTAATAATGTATGGGATCATTTGAAGACAATTGATGACTGGTCACCACTGGGGTGGCAATAATACCTAAGAACTTGAAATTTTTCCAAGTCATTTTCACGGCATCCAAATATAAAAGATATTCTCAACCTTCCTATGTAGACCTGAGTGAATTGTTTTCCTTCGTAATTTCCAGAATTTGGGTCCAAAATTTAACCTGAATTCTTGGCTGCTACAAAGTAATATGAAGCCTGACTTCTGTTACTGACACATTTTTAAAGTTCACAGCTTAGGCTGACTCTACAATGGGAATTACTATCAGATTACCTTTCTCTTGTAGAAATAGCAAAGAACTGTTACTATAAAGCTCTTTGTGTGATCAGCTAAACATAGTGTGGAAAAACCATTAAAAATACACTGAAAAGGTACAGGTATTTTTTTTTTACTGGTTTCTGCATGTCATCTAAATAGTTTAGTTGGTATTTTCTAAAAGCCACACATCACCTTAAAGATGTAAAGATGGTTTCTCTCTACTGCACACAAGTGCCCCTTAAAAGAAACATCCCAAAACAAAACTCACCAAAGCAGTCTGAATGTACTGTAATGAGAAGTACAGGTTAGGGGATCTCTCCCTATCAAGGAAATAATGTTTACATGAAAGAAAAAGGAAAGGACAGGCAAGAATGGTCATATCTGGTTTTGCATTTAAAAATCCAATCCTTGATGAATTAAAAAAGTAAAATTTCAGGTGGTCTTATTTTTTAACTCTACAAAGTTCCAGTTGTTATACAACTCATCTTATTAATTTATTGTTGGATTCTGAAAAAGCTTCTCCATTTTGCCAGTCTTCCAAAGTATAGGTTGATGTGGCTAGCAGTCTTTCAGAAAACACCAGGATTAACCATGTATTTGCACACCTGCAAAGCTCATTTAATGACTGAAATTGCAAATGCTGCACAAGCAAAACAAAAAAATTTACATTGGAAGTTATTTTAGTGACCGCAGCTATATAACACTATTCATAAAACCAAACATGCATGTCTATATATTATGTATTTCAAAATGTAGTTCTGATTGATTGCTATCCCATGTCAAATATTTTTATTTGCTGGAAGAAATGACAAAAATCCTTAAGAAAAATGGGCAAATTTATAAGGAAAAACTTAAACAGCAAAAGCATTAAGAAAAAACTGTACTAACCTTGGGAGTCCTAAAGTCAAGGAACAAATGAAAGGCGACAAGAACAAAGAAGAACATCATGGCTGGTTATTTTTCTAAGGACTTGCATTCTGATGCATTACTGTGAGTACTTAGAGTACACAAATTAACATCCCTGGAAGTATTCTCTGCTCACTCACCTTTCAGATGTGTGCATTTTTTTTATTGTTAAGTTTTCCTCAGGAAATTCTCATTTTGATAATTTCTAGTTTTCTTGAAAATACTCATTTTGCATAAAATCATTTTAACTGAGGGCTGAGCTTTTACCCTGGCTTAGTATGGTGACCTAACTGAGGTTGAGAGGGATTATATATTCAGGATTGAAATTATAAGCAGAGCAATAGATATCATATAGAAATTCTACCCATGCTTTACTTCTAAAGTCCATAGCAGACATATCTAATTGATTAGGGAACTAGATATAGCTTGAGAATCTTCTTCAAGTCCTTGTTCAAGGCATCCACCATTAAGTTCTTGGTTCAAATGATGAAATCTATTTGGCATTTCACATTAGATTTATATTTCAAGCTTTAATATCTACTCTTTCTCTTTTCTTCAGTGGAGATGATCAAATTATTTACTGCTTCACTAGCATAAGAACCAGCCCTTGAGAAGACTATACAGAGGTACAGTGCAACTTTTTCTTCTAAAGGTATTGATCTATAATAAACATATTATGACTAAAAGAGACTTTAACAAAATTTCCCTAAAGGATTATAATATTTTATGTATGTATGTATGTATTTAGAGATAGGGAGTTGTTGTGTCATCCAGGCTAGAGTGCAGTGCAGTGGCACAGTTTTGGCTCACTGCAGCCTTGACCTCCCGGGCTCAAGCAATCCTCCCACCTTAGCCTCCCAAGTAGCTAGGACCACAGGTGCTTGCCACCATGCCCAGCTAATTTTTTTTTTTTTTGTAGAGACAGGGTTTCCTTATGTTTCCCAGGTTGGTCTCGAACCCTAGACTCAAGTGTGCCTGCCTAAGCCTCCCAAAATGCTGGAATTACAGGCATGAGCCACCAGGCCAATAATCTATTTTATTTCTAAATCACCATTGCTCATTCTTTGTTCATTCTTACAAAAGGAGTTAACCATATTATTAAGTAAATCTACAGTGGAATTTTTAAAGAAGTTAAGTTTTGTTTGTGAAAGTGATTATACTCCATCCATCAATATCATTTTACTATGGGTACAGGAAAAGAAGAAATGACATTTTCTCTGAAATAGATAAGTTTGATGCTATGACTTTAAAATAAAAATTATCCTTAAAAACCTTAAAAATCACAGCTTGCTAGATGTTTGTAACTAATGCACTCACTGCTCTCTTTATATATATATTTTCAAAATGTAAAAAATTTGCTACTTTCAGCTTTATTTGAAAGTTATTTTCAACTCAGAAAACTTGCTGGTTTTGTAAATTTTCAGTATAAGAGAATGGGTACTAAGTTATAGTTAGAGGCTTTAAATAAGTGGAGATTCCCATTGCGAGTGGGCGTAAGGGCACATCTGCAAATTGTAGTCCAGATTCAACTCCAGTCTGTGTTTTCCTCAGTGTGACTCATTCAGTCATCACCCGGGCTGTGTGATTACTGACTTCCAAGTATGTGAAACACTCAAACAGTTGGGATTCCTTTTGGAGCATATACAAACAATTTAAATCTTCCAATTCAGATTATGTGGTTGGGCTTAAGACTGTTACGAAGGCAGGGGAAAAACCTGAAGGCTGTTTGTGGCTACAGGGTGTGGTGTTGTGGGATTAGTGGCAGAGATCTGTGGTGTTAATACAGGAAGAAAGATACTCAAGTTACATGCAGTGTAATATACCAAACTTGCAAATTCTCTCTCTCTCCCTTTCTGTCTTTCAGGAGTAGTTGCCAGCAACCTTGCTGCCAACTTAGCCCAAGGTAGGTAACTTTAGGTACACGAGAAAACCCATTTCTCTGCAGTTTTTTATCCTTATCAAACTCACCTAAAGTCAAAGGAAAAACTTCTGATTATAGGCATTTATTTCAATTCGTTCTATAGGAACTGCAGTCTCTGCTCATCTCTTCTTCCCAAAATTCTTGAAATCTTTAAATACTTTGCCAAAAATTGTCATCGAAGGAAACCTTTCATCACTTCTTTTATTATTGTCTTGATTTTTCAATTATTTGGATGTTAAAAATTGAGATATAATTTACATACCATTAAATTCACTATTTTAAAGTGTACACATCAGTGTATTTACAGAGTTGTGCAACCATTATCATTATCTCCTTCCAGAACATGCTCATCACCCAGAAAAGAAACCCCATACCTGTTAGCCATCACTTCCCATTCTTCCCTCTTTCTAGCTCCTGGCAACTACTAATCTCTTTTCTGTCTTTATGGATTTGGCTATTCTGGACATTTCATATAATTGGAAATAAAATACGTGACTATTTGTGACTGGCTTCTTTCACTAGGCATAATATTTTCAAGGTTCACCTATGGGTGAATAATATTCTATTTCATGGATATACCACATTTTATTTATCCATTTATTGTTTGATGGACATCTGATTAAGATGGTTTCCCTCCTCTTTTCTTCTCTCTCTCTTGTTTTGCTTCATATTATTCTAGTTTTTGTTAACTTTGTGATATTTGTTATAGGTTATTTGATTCAACATATGGAAAATCCTAGTCTTGCTTTCTGAATGAAAGCTTCTCAGACTTTAATGTGCATATGAACACATAGGGCTCTTTTGAAAATGCAGACTCTTCAATAAGACACGATGTGAAGCTTGTGATTCTGCATTTCTAACAAGTTCCAAGGCAAAGTTGATTGTACTGATTTGCATTTTACCCCTTGGGCAGCAAGAATCCCAACCATACATTCTGTTGGAAAAAAATGTTCTAAGAATCTTTGTTAATGCCAGGCACACTTGTAGATGCTTTTGGAAATTTTAAGTTTATCTAAAGATTTTGTAATAGCTATTGAGTACCTGACAGAGACTATATAGTCCACAAAGCCTAATATATGGACTACTGAGTTCTTTATATGAAAAATTTGCTGACCCATAAAGACATACTAGATTGTGAAACAATTTAAATCAATCTACATAGGCAAATTTGTATACAGCATAAAAAATTAGGGAATATTACTGCAGTAATTTAGCATTGTTGATGATCAAGAACATTTCATATGTACCACTTTTTCATGATGATACAACTGAAAAATAAAAGTGAAGTCAATATTTTCAGCCCCTTGAACATGTAAAGTTTGGTTTGAATCCACCTCTCTGTAAATTCTGTGGATGTACCCAAGCAGCTGACTGTAGGAGGCTGGAAAAAAAGACAAAAATAGTCGCATTTTAATTTTATGATTACCAAACTCAACTGGACAGCAAATATTTCCCTAATCCATTTCCATTCCTACCCTCCTAGATGATTCTCCATACTTTTTCTTCTCCAGGCAAACTCCCAACACCTCGCCTCCCATTCTCAATCTTAACTGATGACCCCTTCTTTTCTACTAAGAAAATAAAATCTATCAGAAGCAAATTTCTGTGTGTTCCACCTCTGTGTCCTTCTCCACTTGCCTCTTGGCCTCTACTCTGGTTTTCCTATTTCACTAGATAAATTGTTTGTTCTCTTGACAAAGGCCAAATTCTTTACTTTGCACTATATCCCAACCTCTCAGACTTACTCCAGAACATCATGACAACCCTTCTGTTTTGCTCCTGTATCATCAAGTTTAGCCTTTCTACTAAATTTTTTCTATCATCATACAAACATGTTTTGTTTTTTGATCTTAAAAAAAAAATCCCTAAAATTTCTTGACACATCTCTCCTTGAACATCTCTTTCTCTCCTCACTTCGATAGCAAATGTACTTGAAAGAGCTTTCTATAGCCTACAGCTTTCCTCCATTCTCTCTCTAGTCTACCGTAACCAAGCTTGTATTCCCCCACGTCCCCTGAAACTGCTCTTATTAAGGCTGCCAGTGACCTTATCATTAAGATTTCCGATGGTCATTCCTATTGTCGTGAAGTACTCCTTTTATAACACCACTCTGGGTATCTAAGACCCACATTCTTCTTGTTTTCAATTACTGTAGTCATTTCCTCTTTACTCCTTTTTGCTATTTCCTTCTCATCTCTGAAGCCTAATCTTGGGTCCTCATCCTTTCTCTAGCTACACTGAATCCCTTAGTAAATCATTGCTAAGAGATATACTACCACATATATGCTTATGGCTTCAGGATTTGTATATCCATCTTAGACTTCTCTCCTGAACTCCAAAATTGTAAATCCTGCTACCCCCACACCATTTTCCTTTGGATGTAAAATGGGCATCTCTCAAACTTAATGTGCCTACAACTAAATTGCTGGCATTTTCCATCACTCCAAATCATCTTCTCCTTCTGTCTCACTCATCTTGGCCAATGGCAATTTTATTTTTACAGTTGCTTAGATCAAAACTATTGGGATCATTCCCGATTCCTCTTTCTTTCAAACCTCATATCAAATCCATCAAAACATCTCTTGTCAGCACTTTATTTAAAATATATCTGCAATCCAATCACATTTCTTCATTTCTTCAGCCACCATCCTAGTCCAATCCACCACTGTATCTAGCCTGGATTATTGGCCTCTGCTTTTTTCACAAACCTGCCAGACACATTTTATGCCGTGAAGCCTTCCTACTTTCAGCTGGGTTCCCCTGGAGAAACCCCAGATTTCCATATGGCTTATTCCTTCATTGTCTTCATTGTCTTCAGTTCTCTATTCCTTCTCTTTTAGGCTATCCTCCCTCATCTCTCTTCTTTGATTTGGTATTCTCCAAAGCACTTATGCACCCCAAACAGACAATATCTACTTACTCTGGTTGAGTCCATTGTCTTAAAACATAAGCCCAGTGAGAGTAGAGATTTCTATAGTTTGTTTACTGTTATATTCCCAACTCTTGCATCAGGCACATAGTAGGTGTCAATACTGTGTGTTGAACGATTTTCAAACTAAGTAAACTTTGGTTTTGTTCCTGTGAGCATACACCTAAAGGCTTAAAATCTTCAACTTCTAGACAGGAGTTCCTCTGTCTAAAGCTATTTCAAGTCAATGTTATCTCTCCTCAAAGGGTGATCTGGGTGCTGTTACTTGTCATTCTTTTTTTTTTCTCTCTCTCTCTCTACGAGATTAAAAAGACACAGTGCTGACTTTTGCCATCATTCAAAAACACTTCAAGGACTGTTACAATGTTTTCCCCATAGATGTCTTCTTATGTCTTAGAGTTACAGTTACCAGTGCAGCTCTGTGTTTGCCTTTGAGTTGCTTTAGTCAGGACAACTCCTGTGATATCTCAAAACACCCCGAGCGTTCTGATTAAATAAAAAGAATAAGAAGACTTTATCCTATAGAGGAGTCCTCTTTAGAAAGTGGTTTGCTACCATTATAAGGAAGCATTGTAGATTTGAAAAATCATTTCCCATTTACAAAAAAACAAAGATGGCTCTTGAAATCTCTGAAAGTTAAAAAGTCATGTTTTAAATGCTGCCCCAAAGGGGGACTGTCTAATCTCTACCAACTTTTAAAAACTTTTATTTTATATTCAGGAATGCATATGCAGACTTATTATATAGGTAAATTGTATGTCACAGTGGTCTGGTGCAGATTATTTTGTCTCCCAGGTAATAAAG